GAAGACTAGCGGTTTGGGAGTCAGTGGTATGCTGGCTGTCTGGACTTGTGCACTTCAATTTACTCCTCCCGCTTTTCACAACCAGCTAACTTTCCAACCCTTCCCATTCTGCTAGAACTTCTTTCTCGTAAAATGACCAAGATCCCTCGTTAGTACTCACCCTGTGCTTAAGGAATCTATACCGCTGATCACTTCTTTTGAAGCATGCCCCTTTCTCAGCTAAAAGTTTACTGAAGCCTCTATCAGGGATGTCCAACCTGCACGCAGCCCGGGATGGCTATGAACACGGCCCAGCACAAAATAGTAAATTTACTTAAAGCCTTTTTTTGCTCATCAGTTTTTGTTAGTGTGCACATACTTAATGTGTGGCCCAAGACAACTTTTCTTCTTCCACTGTGGCCCAGAGACACCAAAAGGTTGGATACCCCTGCTTGACCACTGAGCTAAGTAAGGACTTGGCTTTCATGATCAAAAACCTGTAATGCCTATTGGAAAAGTCTGAAGTCTTGAGCGAGTCTTTTAATGCGTTCCATAATCTGGTCTTTTCCTTTCTTCCCTTCTCTCTCAAACAACCTATGCTTCAGACATACAGAATAAATCACCACTTCCTGAGTATGCTCTGGATCATCCTTATCTGATGTAAGCTTTTGCTTCTGGGAAGCACTTCTTCCTCATACCAATTAAATAGTTAAATCCATCCTTCTCAGGCTACCTTTCAGTCCTAACAAAAATGATCTAGCCCTGGCCAGTGAGGCTGAGTTGGTTGGAGAGCTGTCCCACAGCTGAAAGTTCACATGTTCAATTTCCAGTCAGAGCAAATGCCCACGTCATGGGTTTAATCCCCTGGTTGGGTGTGTATGAGAAGTCAACCAATAGATGTTTCTCTCACATCAGTACTTCTCTCTCTCCCTTCCTCTCTCTCTAAAGCAATGAAAAAATGTCCTTGGGTTAAGATTAGAAAGAAGGGCTTTTTGGGACTGTGCAGCTTTAGGGTGGGCACTTTTTGCCATGTGGCTTAGGAAGCAGGAAAGACTTTGCCTGGAAGAAAAGGGGTGAAAGGACTCTTGTTGGTGGGCCGTGAGAAGGTGCCACATGGTTTTGGATTAACTGTAGATGGCGGCAGCCACACAGCGGATGGTGCCGGAACCGAGGGGCTCCACATACACACACACAAAAGATTAAAAAAAGAAACTAAACCAGCCCTGGCTGGTGTGGCTGAGTGGATTGAGTGCCTGCCTGAAAAACAAAGGTTCTCCACTTTTATTTCCAGTCAGGGCACATATCTGGGTTGCAGGCCAGGGCCCCAGTGGGGGGCATATGAGAGCCAACCACATATTGATGTTTCCCTCTATTTCTTCCTCCCACCCTTTCTCCCTCTGAAAATAAAAAAATAAAACCTTAAAAAAAAGGGTACCTGTAAAAAAAAAGAAAATAATCTAAATTTCTCTTTACTCCCATAATTCTTTAGACTTTTATTAAAGCTGATGACATCATTTGACTTGCATTGTAGTTATCTATGCCAATGTCCCTGACCAGGCTGTAAGATTCTTGATGGCGAATAATTTTGCCTCGTTCAGGAACTCTCACTTACCTTCATTTTTAATCTCTTTGGCAGCTACAAAATACTTTAAGTAGGCTTGTTTCCTCCAGTGGTTCAATGCTGTGCTGACACCTGCTGGTCACATCTGGCTTGGCAGCCCAGGCCCCAGCACCTTCGTCTATCCAATGTTGAGGACAGTCTGTGCCACCGTAACCCAGGCAGGCACTGGAAGTATATGCTGGTGGACACTGCCCCACAGCACCACCCTCTCCTGGGAACTCCAGGCTCAGAGCCATTGGTCTCTGGCTTGCCTCTGGCATCTGCAGCCTAAGTTCAGTTCAATCTTCAGCACTTTCCCCACTGACCCGCAGCCCACAACAATCTGTACTTAGCCTAAACAAGATTTCAAGGAATTGGGCGGCAAGGAAAGAAACAGGTGGACAAACACTTTGAGAACAGGGTATATATAAACTTCTACCTCACCTCAAAGAATAAAGACTATTTCCTACATAGTGCTATCCCTTTTGACCTATGTCATATAGACCTTGCTGACTGACGCTACACAGAACCGGAGGTTGATCAAAGTAGGTAGGCGGGGCTTGAGGGGTGGGGCCAGGCCAAAGGGCCTCTCACTTAGGAGCTTCTTCTCCATTCTGACAACTCTTCCGGAACATCCAAGGCAAGACTGGCACCCAGTGTGCAGCAGGTGAGGGCCCAGCAATGGCAGAGGGGTAGGCTTTAGGGGTGATGGTAGCAGAAGGGTCCTGGCTGTCAGCCTGATCTTCCCATACAGTGAGACTCCAACCTGATAGCATTCTTGGGTCCCCAGTGGAGAGGTCCAACTCAGCTTTCCCTGGGGCATGGCAGCCTCCGGAACACAGACACGGTTTGGGATGGGGTGGAGGCAGGGCTGAGGCGTGGTGGGGGGGGAGGGTGACAGAGCACTGAGAGATGCAAGGAAATCTTAGGAGGCATGGAGGTAAATGTAAGGGCCAGAGGGAAAGTATGGCCGGAGGATCACGGGGTAGGACCCAGACAAGAGAAAAAGGGAGACTGACGCAGGGAGAGAGGGAGAGGACAGCGGGCCAAGCGTGAGATGGCAACGGGGACAGCGCAGAGCTGGGTAACAGGAAGGCCAAGGAGGAAGGAAGGCTCAAATGGAGGAAGGCTCAGATGGAGCAATCTCCTTTCCTGGTTGTGGAACCTGGTTCAGAAAGCCCCAGACGAAGCCAGGCACAAAGCAAGGTTCTAGGTTCCCACTGCACAGTGTCAGCTGGGGAAGAAAACCCCAGGTACCCATCTCGCCCGACTCTTCAGGCTCCCATTTTGGTTCGGGGGAGAGGGCGAGGCTGCTCCTCACTGCGGTCACAGCCACATCCTGCAGAGGAGGGGAGGGGGAAGTAAGAAGCAAAACAGCCAGAAAACCATAGGCAAAGACCATGGGGAGAGAACCCTGGACATACGCAGCTGATGGGCCACCAGGAGGGCCCCGGGTTCAGCCCCAGGAGAAGACTAAACCTCCTATACTGCCTATCCCCCACTGAGGTGCTTGTTCCTCGAGCTTCCTCGGTGCGATTCAGTTGACAGCAGCAACAGCATTCAAGGGGATGAAGTTTCTTTGAATTACTTGTTTTGAAGCCCATTTTTATCATTCGCTAGTGACTTTGGCCAAGTTGCTTAATTTTACTTAGCTTCAGTTTTCTCATCGTGAAATGGGGATACCTACCTTACAAAGGGTTGGGAAGACTGATAATTCACATAAAGCATTTGGCACATAGTAGCTTCTCAATAAATACTATTTTTATCAAGACTTCTGGGACCCCCCCTACTTCTCATTTACTTAAAGGCAGTACATTACACTAACTGGCATGGGTGTTTGGAGTCAGAAAAACAGTTGTGTTTGACCTTGGGTAAATGATTTAACGTAAGCCTCAGTTTGCTCAGCTATAAAAAGAGATAGCAATACATACACTTTACAGATGTGTGGCCCATGGTCAGTGTCCAAAAATGGTAGCTGGGAGAATTATTTGCCAGGTAAGCCTTATCTTTTCTACTACAGCACGAACAGCCTACTTACCCTTAAAACTTAACGTGTGGTGACTAGTCTCCTGTGTGCCCTCATTCCTCCAGCCAAAGCTATTACTGCTCCTCTGGGTCGCTTTAGAGATCAAAACTTGTTACAGTACTAAAGGAAAAAAAAAAAAAAAAAGGAACAAGGCATAGAGGACTGAGAGGCCCAGGGGGAAAAACAGGACAAACCAAGATGATGATGAGATAGAAACCAGAGTAGAGACAGAAAAGGGAGAAGCCATTTCTCTTTCCTAGGAAGCCTGTGGCCTTTTTTCTATGATTGACCACAAATCCCCACCCCCACCCTCTTCTCCAGGAGCCATGGAGTCCTTCAGCTCAAAGAGTCTGGCACTGCAAGCGGAGAAGAAGCTCCTGAGTAAGATGGCAGGTCGGTCCGTGGCTCATCTCTTCATCGACGAGACAAGCAGCGAGGTGCTAGATGAGCTCTACCGGGTGTCTAAAGAGTACACACACAGCCGGCCCCAGGCCCAGCGGGTTATCAAGGACCTCATCAAGGTGGCTGTCAAAGTGGCCGTCCTGCACCGCAATGGAAGCTTTAGCCCCAGTGAGTTGGCCCTGGCTACCCGCTTTCGCCAAAAGCTACAGCAGGGCGCCATGACAGCACTCAGCTTTGGAGAAGTGGACTTCACTTTCGAGGCGGCCGTGCTGGCTGGCCTGCTGACCGAGTGCCGGGACATGCTGCTGGAGCTGGTACAGCACCACCTCACACCCAAGTCGCACAACCGCATCCGCCACGTGTTCGATCACTTCTCTGACCCGGGCCTGCTCACGGCCCTCTATGGGCCTGACTTCACTCAGCACCTTGGCAAGATCTGTGACGGGCTCAGGAAGCTGCTGGACGAAGGGAAGCTCTGAGAGCCCTGACCCCAGCACGTCCACCTTGGCAACAGGGTTGGCTGAGAAAACAACACATAATGGGCTCTCTAACTCTGCTCATCTGCACTAACACTTTTCACTCCTCAGGCTTCAGTCACCCGCAAGAGCGCTTTGGACTCTGAGACCACCTCACCCTAAATGGCCGGTGGAGAAGAAGCAATGCTGAGGGTTTAGGCTTCTCTCCTACCCCAACCCCAGGGCAGGAAACGAAGAAAGATGAAGTGAAACTTGGATCGCTTATTCCTCCCGTAAGGGATGTTCGAAACAGGGAAGCCCCTCTCCTATGAACCAGGGGAAGGGGGCAGAGCCCTTTTAACCCCTCTGGGGACACTAAAGACAGGTGGGGGAGGGGGCCCTTTGAGACGTCCTAGACCTCCAGCTCAAGGCAGAGTCAGGACAGATACCAGAGCTCTGTTCCAGAGAACAGGAAGAGGGGGTGGGGGCAGGGGAAATAAAACTACTAAAACATGCACAGGGCTCAGTGTTTAATCTCTCCAGCTTCTTATATCTTACGATCATCACAGAGGTCGTCACAGAGGTATACAAACACCACTTATCTCACCACTCACCATTTCCACACAGGAGACTCAGGCATATTTCCAGTATTAGTGGGGTTCTCTTGCCTACTTCTGTTTAAGAAGCTCAAAAGCACAGTACCATAGATCAGTGCTACAAATTGCAAATAAATACGCAGTGAGGAGCAAGGCATAGACCAGACAGGCTCTGGTGGGGAGGGGGTAGAACACAAAGACTCCCACAGCTGCCCTCCCCGTCACACTCCAAGGCAATTCTTCCATTGCTTAGCCTCACACGGGCTGAACAGAGGAGCAGGGTAGAAGGGTGAACTGGGGAGTTCTGGGATCTACGTCACCGTTTTTTTTTTCTCAGAGTAAAACTCGGAGCCACTTTGTCCTCAAGGGGACAGAGGTGAAAAAATTATAGTGAACTAGCGAGTCAAGACTGAGCTCAAATTCTTCACTTTGAGATGGAAGAAAAGGCCTGGCATAGTCTACCATTTCTGCAGCGGCTGGATTACCGACTGCCTCACCCTCAGGAACATGCTTGGCTAAGAAGGTGGGCAGCCGGCAGTCACCAGCTCACTGTTCCTCGGTTTCCCTCACACCAGGGCTACAAAACTCCCACTTTTCAGCTAGGGGTGGGAAAGAATAAAATACAGCAAATAAATATTACTTCCATATAGCACCAAATAAATTAGGCAGCATAGTTGGAGATGGGGAGGGAGTTGGGGGCTGGGGGTTGTCCCTGCCTCCCTGCTCTAAGGCAAAGGAATGGTGAAAGGCATGGGAAAGGCAGCAGGGACGTAAAAAGAGCCTTTTGAATCTAAAGGACAACTCTAGATTCAGCCCAGGAACAGGGAAGGGGTCTATTCCCCAACCCTACTCCTGTCAATAGAAACTGCTTCAGGCCAAGGACCACTTGATAAACAACGAGGCTGAGCAGGAGTGAGGGAGGTGGGCTGGGAAGCCATGTCCTTGAGCCTCACCTCAGGCTCCTCTCCCCCTCAAGTTGCTCCTTCATCATCTTGCTGCTCTCAATCAGTTCTGGGGACATCAGAGTTTGAAGATTTCATCCTCCTGGTCCCGAAGTGTCTGGGTTCGAGAAGTCCGGGTCAGCGGCACGGGGCCTAGGAGTGCTCGTTGCTGCATCCCAGGGGAGCTCCGGTGAAGACCTGTTTCCTCCCCAGGAATCCTGCAAGTGAGGAAGGGGGACAAAGAGTGACCTGCGAATGGGCCTAGTGAAGAAGCACGTGGGACCCTGGCCTCCTTTCCTCGTATATCCGAGCTGGTTGGTCTAAGAGGGAGTTTCAGTACCCTCCGGAGAGATGCTAGGCTCCTTCATCAGAGCAGTAGGCACAGTCGACTATTTTATTCCAGTGAGAACGCAGAACCATCCCCACTGCCCCTACCCACTCCAGCAGCCATGGCTCGACTCACTGTCCTGGGGCCCGTTGGAGGAAAGGATTCACGCCGCTTCTGCTGACACTGTGCTTACTTACTTGTGTGTCTGATCAGGTAAGGCTAGAATAATGGAGAAACTATGAAGGTGTTTTAAAAGAAGCATTAAGACTCACCCACTTTCCGCCCTGGCTGGCGTAGTTCAGTGGATTGAGCTCGGGCTGCGAACCAAAGTATCGCAGGTTCGATTCCCAGCCAGGGCACATGCCTGGGTTGCAGGCCACGGCCCCCAGCAACCACACGTTGATGTTTCTCTCTCTCTTTCTCCCTCCCTTCCCTCTCTAAAAATAAAATAAATCTTAAAAAAAAAAAAGACTCACCCACTTTCCCCTTTTTTCAGCTTCTGGGCAGCAGCCTTCTTTGACAGGCTGATCTGTGAATCAAGCTTCTTAAGGAAATCAGAGGCAGAGAGGTCATGGATGGGGGCAGGAGGTTCCTGGCCAGGTGTGGGAAGGACTTCACCATTGGCACGTCCTGGACCTGGCTCTCGTTTCTTCCTCCCCACTGAGGGTGGCCCAACTTCATCCTCACTTGGCTGTATCTCATCTTCTCTATCTTTCTCTTCCTCAGAATCCAAACCATTGAATAGGTCTCTGGGCTCTGTCAGGATGGGGATGTAGAGGGTTTTCTTCAGGAAGATGGAGTCATTAGTATAAAGGCGGTTTGCACGCTTAATCTGTTCCATCTTTAAAAAAAAAGTCACCACAATTAATGACATTGACAATGATAAATCTAATATTTGTATAGCATCTAATGCCTTTAAAAATGATTGTAGAGTCTTACCTGACCCTATAACAACCAAGGTAAAGTACAAAGAGCTGATATTATTCCTATTTTATTGATCAGTGGTTTTCATGCCTTTTGTATTTAGGACCCTTTTACATTTTTTTTTAAAGATTTTATTTATTTATTTCTAGAGAGGGAAGGGAGTGGGGAGAGAGAGAGAGAGAGAGACACACACACACACACATCAATGTGCGGTTGCTGGGGGCCGTGGCCTGCAACCCTGGCATGTGCCCTGGCTGGGAATCGAACCTGCAACACTTTGATTCGCAGCCCGCGCTCAATCCACTGAGCTATGCCAGCCAGGGCTCTAGGACCCTTTTACATTTTAAAAAATCAGTGAGGAAAAAAGCTTTTCTTTATGTGGATTATAGCTATCAATATTTAAGGTATTAAATAATGAACCCATTACAATTTAACATAAATATTTTAATAAAAAGTAAGTATTTTCTAAACCTACAAAAAATGTAGCAAGAAGAGAGGCATTGTTTTACACTTTTGCAAAATGTCTGACTTAATAGAAGACAAAAGGATTCTCGTGTCTGTCTCTACACTCAATCTCGCACAGTATCACACGTCATATAGCCTCTTGAAAACACAGCACACTCATGAGGAGAATGAAAAACGCAAATAAACTCTCATTATCATCATGAAACTAGTTTTGACCTTGTGGATTCCTCAAGAGTTCCAGAGTAGAGGGCCCTGGACCTCACTCTGAGAACCTCTATTAAAGATGAAGGAACTGAGGCTCAGAGAGGTTAAGTTACTTGCCTAAGATTATCTAGCAAGTTAATGACAGAGCTAGGGCCTCTTTACTCCTTCCGGAAATGCTGTCCACACTACAATATTAATTATTTCATTGGCCAAATGTTTATTTAGTACCCACTTATTCATCACTGAACATGGTCACTGGCATCACCAGCTATCTACCTGCCTCCTAAGGTAGAAATATCAATGTCACCCTTAACTCATACTTTGCTTTCACCATCCATACACAAGTGGTCAAGAAAAGTCCCACAAAAATGTCTCTCATATCTGTTTTCATCTTCACTGCCATCAATTTAGAATAATTCTTAATATTTCTCATTTGGTACTGAAAGTTTAATTGGTCTTTCTCCATTTCTACTCATCCTTCACCCTGCTGACATCTATCTTTTTTAAAAAATTAATCTGATCAATTCATTCCCCTACTTGTATACCTCCTATGGCTCCTCATTGGCTCAGATAAAATCCACATTGGCATTCGAGGGCATCCTCGATCTCGCCCCCATAGTATCTAGCCTCGTCTCCCTTCTCCTGCCCCCCTGGACATTTGCCATCCTGATTTCTCATTTTTCTTTGAACATTTCATGATCTTTCACACTCTAGTGTCTTTATCTGCCTAAAAATGCTTCTCTACTATCCCCTTCTCCGCCTGAACAACTTCTACTTATCAACTCTCTCCCTTGTATTACCTTCTTCAAGGCTCCCATACTGTAAATATCGTTGTAATAGTACCTAACTTATTATATTGTTATTTACCTCTTTGCACATTTGCTCAAACATGTGAGTCCTTTAAGGGCAGGGATGATGACCTGCTGCCTCTGAATCCCTAAGGCACTCCTCAGCATCGCACAAACTTGGCACACAACACAGGCTCACTAATGCTTTATGAATAAACAAACTAGATAATAAAATATAGAAACCACAGATACAGTATATCAGTACTTTATTATCAGAGGCCAGGCAGCCAGTTCTACCAAAAATTCATCCCATGCAGTATCAGTTTAGAAAATCATATTTCTTGTATTTGTCAAATATCAAAGCTATTTCCACCCTGGGGCAAGACTATTATAATAATAAACTTGACTAATAAAATCTTATGCTATGATGTGTTTAAAAAGGAAATCAGATTAACCTGAACAATAAAAAAGTTAAAATTGGCTTGCAGTTTGGCAGTTTTGTACTTTTAGTTTGCCAAATGCTTTATGCTATTATTTTGCCTAGATAATATCCTAGGTCCCTTCTAGCTCCAAGATGTTATGAACTAACCTGTAAATTTTCTGTGGCCTTTGTTGGTTCCTAGAAGTACCATATAAGGAGACATAATTCCACTCTTAGAAAGGATGCAACCAAGGCTGAAGTTCAGAGGAATCTAGGCCATCTTTACAAGCTAGAAAGGCCTTTAGAATCTAGTTAGTTTAACAGAGCAGAACAAAGTGAGGATTTCAGCATGAGATGACCTGGTCTGAATCCTAGCTCAATTAATTAGACTAGTTGTGTAGTCTATGGCAAGTTGTCTCCCTAAGTCTGCTTCCTATCTTTGAATGGGAGTAGTTACACCTACCTACCTAGTAAAGTCTTAATTAGATCATACAAGATAATATATAGAGCATGGCACATACTAAGTGTTTTTTATATGCTGCAAAGGTAACAATTTAGTTAATTATCATTATTCATTACATCTCCCTCATTTTACAAATAGTGAGGAAACTGAGGCCCAGACAGGGGAAGTGACTTATGCAGTCATGCAGCTAGGAAGCAGCAGAATGAGGCCAGAACCTAGACTTCTCCACTAGACTAAAGGGCTTTTCTGTACTCAGAAAGGTACAGGGCTGTAAGAAAACCTCAATGAATAAATAATTGATTGACTGGCAGCACAGGTCCCCTCTCTGCACAGTTTCTGAGCCCATGCTGGGATAGAAGGGCTGCTCAGTACTTTCATACTGACTTCCTCTGTTTAGACCATGCTTTCCTGAACTCCCAGCCTCTGTATGTGGAAATCTTCATGTATTAAAAAAAAAAAATCCATTAAGCTTGTATGTGCTGGGGACTCTGCCAGACTCTGGAGATATAAAGTTGAAAGAAAATAGTTCTGTCCCTTAAGGAGAGTATAGGCTATTGGAAACACAAAGATGTTAAAAGGTGTAAACAACTGGACTACACAGGTTTGAAGAGAGTCAAGGCCCCTCCTTACAGCTCCCTTGAAATCTGCACTGACGTCCATCCCTGCTCCCCTCCAATAAAATTAATCTTTTCTGGTTTCCGATCCTTTGTTAATACCTCCACAAACTCACCACATTCTGTCACCTACAACCATTATGTGTGTCCCTGTTTATTTCTCACTAGACTGTAAATTATATGAGCAGCAACTATATATTTTATTTATGTTTCTATCTCCTAAGATGGCCATCAGAGTGCTTTAAACCTACCAAACATTAAAATGTTGGCTAAATTCAACAGGGTATGGAAAAAAGAAAAACCCTCATCAACTTGAGTGCAATATATGTTTACCCTTATCCCATATATCCTTATATTGACCTGAAGTGTTTGGTGTACAGAGAGCCTTGGAAAGAAGAAGGCAGATGATTGAGGAGAAAAAAAGAACAAGGAGAGATGGGAGCTTTAGGAACTTAGAACTAAAGACCAGCTCTTCATGATTTGCTGTAAATGTTTAATCATTCTCAATTAAAAAATTTCTATGTGGCTAATAGTACAGACTTTGGAGTCTGACAGCCTTGTTTGACTTTCCACTCTAATGCTCACTAGTTATTTGACTTTGGTCAAACTGGTAAGCCAATCTAAGTCTCAGTTTCTTCATCTGTAAAAAGGGGACAATTGTATTCTCACAAGGATGTGAGGATTGAGTGGCCTAATGTATGTAGAGCCCCTAACATAGCGACTGGCATAATAAAAGAGAGCTGCTCCTCTTCACTGAGGTAGTGGGATAGGATTTGTCCCAACCGGACAGTGCAAATGGGAAAACAAACAAAAAGGTAAAGATGGATCAGATAACGCAACACAATCAGGAAAATTTCAGAGGAAATGGCCTAGAAGGGCCATTACATTCTCCTGAGGAATAAACCTCTTTTAACTGGATGTCCACATCCCAATCCTGGAAGACTCACCGTCACCCCGTATTTGAGTGCTAGTCCAGCCAGGGTGTCTCCGGGCGCCAACGGATGCTCCAGGCGTCTTTCCCTCACTGGGGAGCAAGCCGACTGCACCAGACTTCCATAAGAACGAGCCCGGCCCCCTTGAAGCAGTCCTGATCCCCCGAGGGGATCCTGTCTAGAAGGAGAAGCCATCTCCTAACCCCGCCGGCAGCTGGGGTTGCAACTACGGGACACGGAGCCAAGTGACCTATCGGTGGTAGGCCCGGGGACGTGGGGGGCGGATAACCAGGGGATTCCTCTTACTTTCTGTATTATTTTCCAAGTCTTACCCGGCACTACGCACTCATCCTCCACCTTCGTTTCTCCTCCCTCCAAACCCCTTTCCCATAAATCTGTACTTTGAGTATTCAGTCTCTACCTGAGTCTCTCTAGTACCCCTCCGTCTTTCGACCCTCTACAACTCGCGACACTGACCTCTGACCTTTGAACCCTAAACACTTCTCAACATTCGGCTCAATTTGCTCCCAGGTCCGGCAGCCCGGCCTCCGGCCTGCCCTACACCCTGGTTCCACCCTGTCCTGGAGATGGTCCTCTCGGGAAGGGAAGAAATCAGGCCCACCCAGGTGGGCTTTCTCCGTGGACGAAGCGCGTGATGTTTGGGAGAGTTTGGAGTACAGTTTCCACTTAGAGATCCTCAGAGACCCACTCCGCAGCGAATGAATCACATCCTCAAATTCGGGTTCCACATCTATCCCTCCAAATGCCTCGAATATGACAAGATGCAAGGGTCTGGATCCAGCCGGCCGGCAAGCTCTTTGATAAAAGACTTCATTTCCCAAAAGGCTTTGCGTCTGAGGGGTCGCAGGGCACCATAGGAAATGCAGTCCCCCTCGGTGGGCTGGAGGCGGGGTTTCAGGATCGCGCAGTGCAGGCGAGGAAGCGTGTCCCCGGAAGTAAGGAGGCCAACCGGAAGGATACCAGAAGGGAAGGAGACGCCCCACTCTTGCTACGGTGGCCTGAAAGGAGTGGCGAAGGCTGTGCCATATAATTCATTATTTCTGGGACTAACCACCGTTAATGTCTTTCAAGAGAGAGGGGGATGATTGGAGTCAACTCAATGTGCTCAAAGTAAGCGCGAGAGGAGAGCATCTAGAGCAGCTTCCGCTGCCGTCTGAAGGCCGTGAAGGAGTTGTTTTGTTGCTCTAGCAACAAATCGGGGGGGGGGGGCGGGAGAAAAGAGGAGACTAGTGCTTGGATGTGAGTCCTGGTCTCTGTTATCTCCCTTCAACCCCTTCCTCCTTTCTTGCTGATCTTTCCGGACTTATTCCCTTTCCCTCTGCAGAAGCGAAGAGTCGGGGACTTGCTGGCCAGTTATATCCCAGAGGATGAGGCGCTGATGCTACGGGATGGACGGTGAGGGCAAAGAGTAAATCAAGCCTGTGGGTTCTGACATTAGAGGCTTAACAATAAACTTGTTAAGGTGGAGAGCGGGAGTATCTATCATTTTTTGGTGGGGAGTGAGGGACAGGGATGTGGGTGGTGGAGATTGCGATAGTTGGGAGTTGGGCTTTGGAAAGGACTTCTAGGACAGGGTAGGACCTACGGCAGAGACCCCACTCCCCAGGGACTATTTATCTTCTCTCTAGCTTTGCTTGTGCCATCTGTCCCCACCGACCTGTACTGGACACTCTGGCCATGCTGACTGCCCACCGTGCAGGCAAGAAACATCTGTCTAGTAAGTTTGCAGGAAGAAAAGGTGGTAGAGAATAAACTCTTAAAATGTATGCAGAGCACTCACCGTCTCTGCTTATAATTCTCTTGCCTTTCTCCTCAGGCCTGCAGCTTTTCTATGGCAAGAAGCAGCCAGGAAAGGGAATGGAGCAGAATCCAAGACAGCAGAATGAATCGGAGAGGGAAGAGACCAAAGCAGAGGTAATCAGCGATGGAAATGTGTGTTCCAGGCAGGATCGTGCTGCATACCTTAGGCCGGAAGGGCTTGGGCTTCTAGAAAGAAGCACAGACTTTGTCTTCTGTCTCCATTCCAGGCTCCTCTGTTAACCCAGACTCGACTTATCACCCAGAATGCTCTGCACAGAGCTCCTCACTATAACAGTTGCTGTCGCCGGAAGTACAGGTCTGTGAGGTAGGAAAATTAGGGATGCGGGGGAAGAAAGTAGGTAGATGGTTCTTAAGGCACTGTTTTCCAAATTGTATTCCCAGGAATACTAGTGTTCTGGAGATGTTAATTGGTATTTCAGGAAAATGAGAATTTTGTAATTTAAAGAAAGTTTGGGAAATGGCACTTAGTAGGATGACAAAGTAGGATGGTTTTTTAAAAATATTTTATATATTTAAAAGACTTCTATACTGAAACAAAAAATAAAAATATTTTATATATTTATTTTCAGAGAGAGGGGAAGAGAGGGAGAAAAAGAGGGAGAGAAACATCACTGTGAGAGAAACATCAGTTGGTTACCTCTCACATACCCCTAACTGGGGACCCAGCCTGCAATCCAGGCATGTGCCCTGACCGGGAATCAAACCAGCAACCTTTTGGTTTGTAGGCCGATGCTTAATCCACTGAGCCACACCAGCCAGGGCAGGATGCTTTTTTTAAATCCTCACCCGAAGATATGTCTGTTTGTTTGTTTGTTCATTTATTTATTTATTTATTTTAGAGAGCGAGAACAGGAGAGAGAGAGGGAAACATCAATGTGAAAGGACCATTCAGTAGTTGCCTTCCATATGTACCCCAACTGGGGATTGAACCAGCAACTGAAACATGTGCCCTGACTAGGAATTGAACCCACAGTGTTTTGGTGTATGGGATGACCACCCAGCCGGGAGCAAAGTAGGATACTTTCTAAAAAGTATATGTTTATTGATTTTTTAGAGAGAGAGGAAGGGAGAAAGAGAAACATCAATGTGAGAGAGAAATATTGATCACTTGCCTCCCGTAAGCACCCCGACAAGGCCTCAAACTGGAAACCTAGGTATGTGCCCTGACTGGACATTGAACCTCTAACCTTTTAGTGTATGGGATGATGCTCCAACAAACTGAGCCACACCAGCAGGGCTAAAATAGGATGCTTTTGAAGAATAGTAACATTAGTATATTTTAAGGGCTCTACAAAGTCTTAAGATAAAAATCTTTAGAATTTTTAACCTAGCCTTTCCTAAATTCATTTGAAAGCCTTATTACGTAGTACACATTATCTAAATTCCGAAAGCCTTTTTATGTAGTACACATTAATATCTTGAAGAACACTCTTCAGGAAATACTGCTTTAAGGGGTTGGGAATCACAGGAGAGATGGCCCTTTGCTGTATTGCTTTGACGGATTGTGATTCTTCTCTACCCAGACCAGAAGGACCTCGTCCCTCTGTCTCTCCTTCCCCTTTGCCACCCCCAGAGGTTGGACTCCAAAGTGGAAAGATCAGTAGGGACCCTGAGCCTGGGGCTGGCTCACAGGCCAAGGAGTTAGCAACTGTCTCACCCCCTGCACCTATGAGCCCCACGAGAAGACGAGCCCTAGATCACTACCTCACCCTTCGAAGGTGAGTATGCAGAACCACTTTTCCCTTTTTTCTATGACCCCTCCCTTTTAAAACCTTTTTGGTTTTTCTTGTCCCACTCGAATTTCTCAAAAACTCCCTTCCCTGACCAATTCTATTTTCTCTTATGTTTCCAGTTCTGGATGGATTCCAGATGGACGAGGTCGATGGGTGAAAGATGAGAATGTTGAGTTTGACTCTGATGAGGAGGAACCTCCTGATCTCCCCTTGGACTGATACCCTGTTTCCCCATTTAATTCAGAAATAAACTACAGTGGGCGCTGGGAGCCTAACTTTCCTCAAGTCTGGTTCCTTGTCCCACTTTAGGATTTTGGATGTGTTCCTTCTCGGCCTGGCCAGTCCTTCCCTGCAATGTACATACACAGCTCTCCATACTTCCAACCCCTCCCCCACCTTCTATCAAAGTCATGCCAAGCGTCAGCTGCATGCAGCCCGGTGCCCTATTAATAAGTCTGTCAGAAGGAGGTCTTTGCCCTTCATGATGTCTGCCTTCTTTCCTACCTCTACTGAAAGTCCTTTCCTCCTTCAAATCACATGAGGGTTGTGGGTAGAAACTGGGGTGGGGGCGGGCCTGACCACATCTGGAAACGGCTGAGGCTACATATCCTGTGAAAGTAGAAGAGGCTAAAGGCACTGGCAGAGTTATGGGGAACACCAAGGGAGGGAGCTCCCCCACCTCTTCCTAGTAACTTGAACCTCCCTGCCTGTTGATCCCCAGAGTATAAATAATCCCCTGATGAACTGGCAGTAACCCTTGGGTGTTAGCGCCAAGATTTCCACCCCAAAGCCCAAGGAAGGAGGCAGGCAGGGTGGACAGAAGGACCTTTATTTACAGGAAAGGGGGATAGATGAGGATTCAGGGCTCCCAGCTATTGATGGTGAAGGCATAAGTAGTGTCATCTCTTTTTTTGCTGGCGACCTGTAAAGGAGGAAAAGTAAATACAAGATTTGTCCCATTTCTTGCTTTCTGCAAAGATGGTCTTCTCCTTCCCAGTTCCTTGGCTAGACTTGTAAAGAGGTAATGTCTTAGGCCACCAAGCATGCTCATGCCACATTAATAAAAGAAGAAATGACACAACAAAAATACTATGCTTCCAAACATATGTCTAGCTTCCTTTCCACTTTTCTGCAGGTATAGATTTGGGGCAGGGGACTTTTCTCTCTGCTTTTGGACCACTTACGGTATTTGAATTTCTCATGTGAGTATCGCTTGGGTGGCACCCCCAGCTGTTAGTAAGTCCCCTTTAGGACTATCCATCAGCTTCTGTACCAACTTGACCCTCCCTCCCAACACCACGTCTGCAGTTACTCACGTAGTTCATTGTTCCGGGTCATGGCCTGGGCTGCCCGAGCTCGTGGCCCCTGCTGTGTAAAATGGTAGCCGAAGCGGACGATGGAGGGACACTGTTCGAGCACAGTGGCCATCTCCATCTCCACTGCATCACCAGGCCACTGGCGCTGGGGGAGGGAGAGATGAAAGCTGTCAGCCACTCTCTGGGTTGTTCACTGCTCCAGACCACCCACCCTTTGGGAGGTCAAGGAGGCTTGTTTCTCTAGAGTGGGTGATGAGAGGTGCTGATTTGGCTGCCTTCATAGAGACAATGAAGGGAAATCAATAAGATCAGGTGAGATCCTGACCCAGTGGCTGCCTCAGGGAGGAGACTCAGGAGGCATTAGCTGAATGCAAAGCCCAAGGGAAGGGAATGCTGACCTGGTTGTCTACACGGAGCTCAGTGAGTGTGGCATTTTCCCGAACTGCCTTCAGCACAGCCATGAGCCCTGCGCTGCTAATGAAGTTGGATTCAATGTTCAGGCTCTGGAGGCTACGATTCTCACGCAACATGTCAGCCACCACCTGGGTAGTAGGGACTTGGGTTAGGTTTAGGGGCTAGTTTCACAGATGACTGAGGAGAGCAAACAGGAGCAAGAGGGAAACACGGCTCTCTGAGATGAGTCCTTGAGGAGCTGTAGGTGGGGCTAGAAGGAGACAGAAGTGAGGGTGGGTAGTAGGGGAAGCAGGGAGATTAAATGTGCAGTTAAATTGAGGTGGGGCAGAGAGGTTGTGGCTCTTTGGGAAGATGATCTAACGGTTTCAGAGCTGTGAGTCTTAGGACTCAGGGTAGGAGTCTCCATCAGGGCTACCCTAGGAGAGCATGAGGGGAATAGCAGCCCCAGCACAGCCCTTTATGACAACCCTGCCAGGGGAGCATGTCCGCTTATGGGGAGAGGGCTAGGGATGTCAACCAGCCTTACATTGGCGATTGGGTCACCACTCTTCGTGGCCACCAGACTGAGGCTCCGGACATGGGTATTTGTCTTCATGGCCTCACACAGTTCAGTTAGCTTGGGTATTGGGATGTCCTGTTAGAGCAGAACAGGAGATGGTGGCCAAGGAACTCACATGTCAGCAGTTATCCAAGTATTATTTGGAGGATGGGGGTCAAATACCTGTATATTATTGAGGTTCACCTCCTCCAGGTCCTTGTCATTGCTTTGCACACGCTTTAGTATCTCCTCGATGTTTGTGGGATTTGGGGGCTCGTCTGGCACTGGCTTATACTTGTCAGGCTGCACCACACCTGTGGGTGAGGGTAGGAAGGAAACCGCACATCCCCCCCTAACCTTCTCCCTGTTGGTTCTCTTACCACGTATGCACATCCCCCCTCCCCAATTCACCTGTTTCATCTTTTGCTACCTTTCCTCAGACTCTGGGACTGCCTGCCAAGAGCCCTGGGGCCATGCTCTCAAACACACTCACTGCTAATGCCTTCAGTGTTGCAGATTTCTCCACTGCAGAGGGCATCATAGTATTGCTTGTTGCTCATCAGTGTGTACATGCCCAGAATTGCTGGAAAGAGGAAGCAGAGAGGGGACAGGGAATGAAAAGGAATTTGTTCCAAGCCACCCCTCCCACCTCATTCTGACTCTGTTGCATTTTTTAAGCTTGACTTCTTCCACTCTTCCAAAGAGTTTCCTCCTCCCTTGGCCCCAGGGGTCTTCTCTGTAAACTGCTTAAGGCAGTGGTTTTTAAAATATTGAGAGAGGGCTAAGGGAAGGTCCCTAGGGAGCCACTAGAGGGTGAGGAAGTCTGTCAGACTTCCTCCTGCTTTCAGCTAGAATAGTTCCACTTTTATTTGCTTTATAATCCCTGTAAAAATGCCCTTGAGATGTTAACTTATTTAATTAAACACACACACACACACACACATACACACACACAAATGGATGACTAACATATATAAGAAAAATTAAAAACCACTACCTGAGGCTTTCTTGAACATTCATGTCCTGGTTCAGGGCCTTCCTCACTAATCCCATACCATGAATAGGAGCCCCTGCCCTTGATCTTCCCACCCTCCCCAACTTCCCCAGCTGCCTACCTGCAATATCACACATTTCAGCATCGGTGGCATTGGCCAGTGCCTGCTCCAGCTCAGGCTCCAGAGTGATCTGCTCCTCTGCTGGAATTTCCCTTTTGGGCTGAATATAGGGTTTCCCTGATGGGGAGAGGAAGGGTGATTCAGGTAGAGGCCATTTCTCCTAAGCCTGGCCTCCAGCTTCCTTTTCTTCTCTGGGAGGTTTTGGAATGCTGGGTCACTAGGGGACAATAGAAAGCCTGAATCCTCTACAAGCTCAGGGTTCCTGAGTCCCCTGATCTTTTATAAAAGAGCTGAAGAGTGCAAGCTTGCATGCAGGTACCAGGACAGTGGAGTTCCTGAGTAGCTAGGAGCTGGCAGGGAAGCTGGAGGGGGGACATATGAGAGGGAGCCATTTGTGTCGTGGGAGGTATGGACGGTAGGGTCTCCATACCTTTCTTCTCGCCTGTGAAGGGCACCAAGTCATCTCGCTCTTTGACCTCTAGTGCCTGCTGCTCCAGGTACTGCAAGAGGGCCTCTCGGTCCAGCGGCCCCGTTGGGCTCTTCTTTGTCTGGTCACGTTGTCTTAGTCCAGCTGGCAGGAGCATGTTCTTGGGGATGAGTTTTGGGGAGCCAGTCAGACCTCCCCTCTGATGTGAGGCACCTCCAGGGCTCCCTAAAACATCTCCAGACACCTGTTCCTGGGCCCTCTTGGGACTCAAGGCCCTGTAGGTAGCCCTGGTCTCAGCCACCCAGGGCCCTGCACCCTTCCCCAAATGCCTGGGGACTGCCCCTGGTTCCCTGTTCTGGAGCCCCTACCTCGGGGTCCATCTCTTGTAGCTCGCAGTCCAGCTGCTCTAGCTCCTCAGGGCTCAAGGTCCTTAGGATCTCATCTTCATCTATGTCTCTGTATTTCTCCAGTTCCTTCAGATACGATGACATGATGGCCCCCACCCCCTCCCCACAGTGTGGCACTCACAGAGCCTGGGGAACATGGGAAAGTGGTTGGACAATGGAAAGACCTATAGGGACAAACACAGTAGGGACACAAACAGACCAGCCAGGGAGCAGAACAATGAACTGGACGCCTTAATGTTAGAAATCTAGATGGGCATGGGAAGATGGGGGGAAAGTTAGGTTGCTTAGTTAGAACCAGAGCCTCCTTCTTCCTGCTTCCCCAGCTTCCAGCCAGTCTGGATGAGGATCACAGGCATCCAGGCTGGATCTGTGTGCCCACTGTATGACAGAGAAATCCTGGCAGCACCCCTCCCCTATACAACTCTGCCGGTCGGGCCTCTTGACCTAGCACAGCTGCCGGGAGCCCTGCCAACACAGCTGGCCCCAGGCCCAGTTCCTATTGAAAGAAAAGGGGGAGGTGGGCAGAGAGCTTCAGGGGTATTCCTCCTCGTTGCCTCATAATCCAGTCTTTTCCCCAAACTGGTTTAAGAAAGCAAGGATTGGGGTTGTGGAGAAAAAAAGTTCTCTTACTCCACACTCATTTCTTCTTTTATTGTGGGGGATCAAGATTTCACTTTCTACATTTGCTAAAATTCTAAAATCCTAAGGGAAACCAGGGCGCTGAGAAGCTGGAGGAGCAGGCACTTCCAGGCTGGGGGAAGGGTAGTATGGCCTCAGGAGGAAGGGCTGAGTCCCCATAATTTGTCCCTGGCTTTGGACAGGAAGGTGACACCAGACCAATGGGTGAAAAATGCCTTCTAAATGGGATAAAGTTTCTTTAAAAACAGTGGATTGAATTTGCATAATCTTTTACAATATAAAAAATACATACAAGCTACACATACACACCATGCTGAATATGAAAGAGGCAGAAAGTGTGCGATATTTACATTGACGATATAAACTACACAGTTACAGGATATGACGGACAGTGGCAGAAACTTACATTGAGTGACAGAGACAGAGACAGACTTTGTATTATTCCCAGTAGGAGCCACTTCCCAGAGCCATCTCCCACCAGGCTCTGATCCATGAGCCCCCTGCCTTCCCCACCTACCAGTCCTGATGGCTACTTCCCTCCTCACCTCCCCTTCTGTCAGTCAGTCTGTCTGTTCTACTGGAGCACTGTCCCCGCGGCAGGAGGAGCCCAGTGTCCGGTGCCGGGGGGAAAGGGTGGGGGAACAGTGAGCTCAGCATTTTATTATTTTAGCTCTGGCCAGGTGGGGGGTAGTGGGAGATCACATATACACAGCCCCCATACCCTGCCCAGCCCTGGGAGCCTCTAGTGGCCACCAATAGCCATGACACCTCCTCCCTTTTCCTTCACACAAGCTTAGGTCCTGGAAATTGGAGTTCTATGAGAATCAGATAGATCCTACTTTCTTGGTGCCTACTGTGTTCAAAGCAGTGACTGTAAGGTGATATAAAGGCTGAGTGTAAGGTTTTTGTTTTGTGTCTAAGTAAGGTGTTTACAATCTAGTTGGAGGTGGGAATGAATACTTGACAATTTAAAAAGGGCAGCTGTTAAACAAACATAAAGACCCACATATACTCAGGTATTCAAATACTTATTGCCCCCAACCCTAGATTCGATATCAGACAAAAGGGATCCTTCTATTTTATTGGATTAAAAAACACAAACAAAACCAGTAGGAACTAGGGGAAAAGATGGCAAAAGAAATATAGACAAGGGCTGGGCAAAGATTAGAGATGACAAAGGGAGAAATGGAGAGTGGAGGGGGACACTGAGAGCCCGAGTTGGGCAGGAAAGAGGTTTTAAGAAACAGACATCTCTTCATTTGATGACGATTTTCTGGCGCAAGGCTCGAGGCCCAGAGCCAGGGAGGGGCTCAGGAGGTGGTGGGCCTGGGCCCAGGGCGGAGGCAGCGGGCGGCAGTCCGTGGGCAGTGATGTACTTCTTGTAGGCCTCACGGATGATCTTGAAAGCTCGAGCAGTGGCGTAGGGTATGTCTGTAACAGGGTCCCGGTAGAGGGCTGGACGGTGGGTCACCGGGCAGACCTCCCGAACAGGGACCTTTGGGGGCCGCACTTGGGGAAACCATTCCTCGAATGTCGCATCATCGCTGAAAGTGATGAAGGTGCGTGAGCAGCGAGCAGGAGGGATGACGGGTCCAGCCCCGGCACGGGGAGCCGTGGGAGCGGGATCAAGTCTGAAGGAAAAGACAGAGAAAAACACAAAGAGGTGAGACAGAAAACAAGAGAAAAAAAAAGAGATCAGAGAGGTGAGGAAAGAGGAGGAGGCAGAGTGAGGGTGACATTCTGAGAGAGTCTATTAAGGACAGACGGAAAAAGAAAGCTGGGCTGGAAGGAAAAACAGAGGGAGAAAAGAGGCTACAAGGGAGAGACAGGGAGCTGAAGGGGAGAAGAATCTGAAATATATTGAAGTGTCAGTGAGAGCTACGCGAGGAAAGCAAGGGAGGTAGGGTTCTGAAAATAAAGCTGGGAGAAGGGAGAAACCTCTCTTCTCTTTCCCTCTAGAGAGTCACTCACCCTTCCACATCGACATTCTCTTCTTTAGGGCCCGGCTCCACCAGCGGCACTGTCACCGAATGATAGGTGATTGTAGGCCCAGGGCACTTCCTCTTCTTGTGAACCTGCTTCTTTTTGTCAGCCTCCAGGCGCTCATATGTCTCTTCAAGGTCAAAAGAAGGAATGAGAGGATGGTCAGTTACCCCTCTTCCCACACCCCAGTTTTGCCCTACAATCTCTCAATTATCTTCCTGGCTGTCTAGTCACTGCCTACCAAGCCCATTATCCAAGTCCTCCAGGGTCCTCTAGCATCTCCCATCTCAAACATTTTCTGCTTGCCCCTCTTGAAATTCTCTTTGCTCACCATTTCTCAAGTCCACTTGGCCCCTTGCCCACCCAAAACTGCAGGACTTCAGAGTTGGAAGGGACCCTTTGATGAGGAGCCTGTTCAATTCCCCACATACTCCCCACAATTGCCCTGTCAACATGCTCCCATCCCAGGCAGCAGATTACATCTTTAGGCATCTCTAGTCATTAGAGTTCCTTCCTATTTTGAGCTGAAATAGGCAAGTGTCTGATAACACTTTTTTTTTTTTACCTTTTAAGGCCACAGAGAACAGAATCTAATGTCTTCCACACGACAGTCCTTTAAATAGTTAAAATCAGTGTCCATGTGTTTCCAGGCTGATCACAACACCCATCCCACTGAACCATTCCTCATGCAATAATGGCTCTGAGTCACTCCCTCCTTTTGCCATCCCAGAGCCTAAGACACTCTTCTGTTACTGTACTTATCACAGTCCATGGCAGAGATCGCAAGCTGGCAGCCCACTTAAGTATTTTGTTTGATCCGCATTGTTTTTTAAAGAAAAATTTGACCTGGCTGGTGTAGCTCAGTGGATTGAGCATGCCCTGCGAACCAAAGTGTCGTCAGTTCGATTCCCAGTCAGGGCACATGCCCGGGTTTCGGGTCAGGTCCCCAGTAGGGGACATGTGAGAGGCAACCACACATTGATGTTTCTCTCCCTCTCTTTCTCCTCCCCCCCTAAAAATTAATAAAATCTTAAAAAAAGAGAGAAAAATCTGAATTAGTTGTTGACATTAAAAATTAGATAATTACTTTAAATACAGAGATTTCTGATGTCTCTTAAAAAATTGTAAGAAAATCTGGCAACCCTGGGTCTGCATTCTCACACGCAGCTGAACTGAATAATTGCTCCTTTCAGGCACACCTCTCTACTACACCACAGTCCCCCTGGTGGACCCTACGACACTGCTCTATGGAAGTTTACTGTTGTATATATGTCTTCTCTTTATGGGCAGTGACTATGGCTCATATTACCTACAAATTAAGATTTTTATTTATTTACTTTTAGAGAGAGGGGAAGTGAGGGAGATGTAGAGGGAGACAAACATTAACATGTGAGAGAAACAGCAATCGGTTGCCTCTCACACACCCCTAACTGGGGACTTGGCCCGTAACCTAGGCATGTGCCCTGACCAGAATTGAACCGGTGACCTTCCAGATTGCAGGCAGGCGTTCAATCCACTGAGCCACAGCAGCCAGGACATCATATTACCTACAAATTATCCAAGTCATGCAGCATTCCACACATCACAGGCACTCAACAAATATGTCAATGCATACACAAATCAAAATATTCCTGATTCCTTTCCTCTGAATTAACTCCAAGTTTCTGTTTCCTTGTTAAATGTGAGTACTGTGAACACAAACCTCTAAATAAAGTCTAACCAGAAGAGTCCTCTAGAAACCCCTCAAGTAACTTAACCTCTTGCGTACTCAAATTCTGCCTGATAATACTGTTTTCTTTCCCTGGAGCCAACCTTCCCACCCTCCTTTTCTCGAACACTTCCTTGCACTCTCAGAACTCATGCTCTCTATATAATCAGCCAATTCATTTACAGTCTCCCTCACTGAGCATTCCTTTCACAACATGTCTTGCCAGAAACCTGTCACCCACCGGGGCCACCACGCTCCCTGCAGCCCACTGGTAGAGGCTGCTCATCCTCTCACATCCCACGCGCGATACGCCTGTGTCCTACTGAGCCCCACACTGAAGCTTTCAGATCACTGCTCTTCTACCCACCTACACACTCCCTTCTCTTCTGAGACCTGAGCCCACAATCCAGCTTACCTTCTCTCCTTCTTAGTCACAGTCACCCCCTCACTCATGGAAGACTTTGGCAATGGTTCCCAACTCTTGTCATTTCAGTCACCCTGGTAACTTCAAAGTACACACAGGTAGCCCCTTCAACACCACACCCCTAATTTCTTTATAACCTCATCTCTCTTTTTTAAAAAAAATTTTACTTATTTTTTACAGAGGAGAAAAGAGGGAGAAAGAGAGGGAGAGAAAGATCAATGTGTGGCTACCTTTTATGCATCCCCCACCAGGGACCTGGCCCACAACCCAGGCATGTGCCCTGACTGGGAATTGAACCAATGACCCTTTGGTTCACAGACCAGTGCTCAATCCATTGAGCCACACCAGTTAGGGCTACAACCTCACCTCTTAACAAGGTATGTCCATGATACATTCATTAGTTACTCCATTATGCTATAGCCACAGCCTAGACTTTGTCGACGCCTGAAACTGCCCCAGCTCTGAAATAATTCAAAACCATACATCCAGGTTCTGACCACAACATACTATCCTTCAGGTCTGTTTGCTCCACTACCCTGCAGATATCTCTGTTCTTCTACTTCAGCACCTGTTGTACATGGGTTCTCCTCATTCTATCAGCCCCTTCCAGCCTTTGTTCTCCTTTTTATTTTTATTTAGGTTTTATTTATTTATTTTTAGAGAGGGAAAGGGAAAAAGAAAGGGAGAAAAACATCAATGTGTGGTTGTCTCTTGCACGCCCCCTACTGGGGATCTGGCCCACAACCCAGGCATATGCCCTGACTGGGAATCAAACTGGTGACCCTTTAGTTCATAGGCCGGCACTCAATCCACTGAGCCACATCAGCCAGGGCTTGTTTTCCTTTTTAAATGGGGCTAAGATTCCTCAACCTATAATTTTAGTCATTCTTTGTCAATGTAAACTCCCATACCCAGGCCTGGATTGCTGAGTGCTATTAGAGAAAAATTATACAACAGGTCAAATGGAACCACCACACATTCGTGGTCTCAAACTTCAATAGACCCCTGCCACCAGCAGATGATCCCATCTCTACAATACTTAAAATACTCTTCACGCTTCTGAAGCTTCCAACTCTACCTCTGACACCTGATAGATGATAGTGCCTAAGGGATATCAGATGGAAACCACTGCAATGTCCTGCTCTGGATTTACAAACCTACAGCTATAAGCCACCCACCCTCCCTTCCTCTTAACTTTGGCCAATTCTTCCACCTGTGCTTTAGCCCCATCACCTTTCCCCCATTTCACCACTCACTGCTTCAAACACCTTCACTATTAACTACCTTCATTATTCACTATTTTTTCTCTAATTAAACTCAGCTGCAGCTCATCAAATATACAGTCCCTCTATCTTTGAAGAAAAGAAAAATAGGGCACCCTGCCTGGTGTAGCTCAGTGGCTTGAGTGTGGGCTACGAACCAAAGTGTTGCAGGTTCGATTCCCAGTCAGGGTACATGCCTGGGTTGCAGGCCATGACCCCCAGGCAACTGCACATTGATGTTTTTCTCTCTCTCTCTCTCTCTTTCTCCTTCCCTTCCCTCTCTAAAAAAAGATTAAATAAATAAAATCTTAAAACAAAAGAAAGAAAAATAGGGCCAAATTCTATCTTGACCCCAGACACCCTGCCCCCCACCATAGCTTCTAGTGCCTCTCCTACCCTTCATAGCCAAACTTACGAAGTTTGGCTTCCCAACCAATTTCAACATGGTTTGGCACTCAAAAAGAGCTCCTTAAGGTCATCTCTGACATCCATGTCACCAAAACCAATGGGCACTTCTCAGTTCTCCCCCTTAACTGGCATTTCATAAGCATTCAGCAGTTACTACTCTCTTTGGGAACACTGTTTCCTTGGCATTCTTAAGACAAACTCTTCTGGAGTCCTCCAACACTCTGGCCACACCATAGGTTCTTCTCTGAGCTTCTCCTTTTGTACAAGACCAGCTGGTATAGCGCAGTGGATTGAGTGTGGGCCTGAGAACCAAAGGGTCACCAGTTCGATTCCCCTTAGGGACACATGCCTGGGTTGCAGGCCAGGTTCCCTGTAGGGGGTACACAAAAAGCAACCACACATTGATGTTTCTCTCCTTCTCTTTCTCCTTCCCTCCCCCCTTTTTAATTTTTTACTAAAAAAATTAAATTAAAAAAGACATCACATTTATTTTTTTTAGATTTTATTTATTTATTTTTAGAGAGTGGGAAGGAAGGGAGAAAGAGAGGAAGATCAATTGGTTGCCTCTTACATGCCCCTCACTGGGGACCTGGCCCGCAATCCAGGCATATGCCCTGACTAGGAATCGAACCAGTGACCATTTGGTTTGCAGGACGCCCATCCCACTGAGTTATACCAGTCAGGGTAGACCATTACATTTTGGAGTTTACAGGACTCTCTTGGGCCTGCCTTTTCTTCTCACTCTATGCTTTCTCTAATGTCATCAATTACTACCATATTCTAAACACTTCCAAATTTATATTTCTGGCCTAGAACTGTTGTTTGAGCACCAAATTTGTGTGTTTAACTGACCTCCCTGCACTGTATAAATTGCTCACAGATGCTTCAAATTCATCATGTTCAAAAGTGGACTTACTGCTGAACATGCCCCTGTGGGGTTGCCTACGTCAGCTACTGATGTCAGAAGCCTGGGAGTCATTCTCCTGACAGTGGTCTGAACTAATCAAGGTAGTCAAAGAATGCAGATTGAAATCAGGGACATTGAGGTGATCTCATTGTTTGTGATGGTTCTCAGTCATTTATGTTTGACTGATAAAGATTACATTTCTTGCCCTGACTCGTGTGCCTCAGTTGGTTGGGTGTTGTCCCACGAGGTGAGGGGTCCCTGGTTCAATTATCAGTGAAGGCACATGCCTGGGTTGCAGGTCCAGTCCTAGTCGGGGTGTGTGAGAGGCAGCTGATCAATGTTTCTCTCCCTCTCTTTGTCCCTCCCTTCCCCTCTCTCTAAAAATAAATAAATAAAATCTTATAACAAAACAAAGATTTCTCATTTTGAAGCCAATATGATGGGGAAAAAAAAGTCATGAGAATACACTTTGAAGATGTTGGAAAGGAACTAAATCTTTTCTCAATCACTGTGGTCTCTGCAGTTAAGTTGTCTAAATTTCAAAACTATCATTAAACTGGAATGGCTTGGACCCCAGATAGTGTAGGTAAACAATCTTCCACTCTATAGTGAAATCACATTTGGGTTATGCATTTTCAATTATATATGCTTGTCAAAAAAAAAAAGAGAGAGAGAGAGAGAAAGCCCTGACTGGTGTAGCTCAGTGGACTGAGCACGGGCCTGCAAACCAAAAGCCTGCAGGTTCAATTCCCAGTCAGGGCACATGCCTGAGTTGCAGCCAGGTCCTCACTGCAGGGCTCAGGAGAGGCAACCACACATTGATGTTCTCTCCCTCTCTTTCTCCTTCCCTTCCCATCTCTCTAAAAAAATAAAATCTTAAAAAAAAAAAGAGAGAGAAAGATTCAGAGAAATGGAGAAAATCAACATTATAGGTGATTCCATCTGTTACTTCACTATTTTACTCAATGAAAGTGTGACCCAGAGTGAGTATATGAAATCTTCTGTCCCCTCTGATTATTGTGTACCCTCTTATGATTTGAGACTAACCATACAAAAGAAGGTATGTTTTTGTACAATATATTATACACGATTGTGTACCCAATAGCACATAAACTGAAGAGATTTAAACATTTGTTTACGTTAGAGCAATTTATCTCATGAACTGATTCTACTGAATTTCTAATTCTCCTGATCATTAAAATAGACATTACTACCCCAATTGTCAACAAAGAAAGCAAGATGCAAGTAAGTTAAGTAATTCGCCTGCAGTCTTATAGCAACTAAACAGAAGAACTAGCATTTGAACTCAGTTCTATACAACCCTTATTTTATACCAGAGTACCTCAACATATTTGTTCTCAGAGACTTTATAACTCCCTAGTTCTTTGTTCCTAATCATTTATTATCCCCAGTTTTTTCTTCTGACTCCCTTCTCCCAAATCTCCACCTTTCCAGTTCTTTGGGCCCTCCACTTTTCTCATGCTCCTCAGCCCCTCTATCCACTGTTCTCAAACCATACACTGACCAAGTGAACGTAAGTTGAGCTCCTCTGTGATCTTGGCCTCCCTGAGCAGCTCCTCCTGGGTCAGTGGCCGCTCACAGTGGGGCCCCTTTCGCCGCCGTGACTGGCCCTGCCTTTCCTGTACCCGCAGGAATGTTTGTCGTGTATGTTCAGCTGTAGACTGACGCATGGACTTCCGGCCTGGAAAGGATATCAGAGGGGAAGAAATCTTTGACTTCATGTCTACCTCCTTATTTTTTTTTCTTATTTTAAAACTTTGTTTTGGAAATCATTTCAAACTTACAAAAAAGTTGCAGTAGCACAAAGAACACCCATGTATGCTTTACCCAGATCACTGTTAACATTTTGCCCCATCTGCATTGTATGTGTTATATAATTTATTTTTTCTGAATAATCAGTTAAGTTGCACGCATCATGACTCTCCATCCCTAAATACTTGTGTATATTTCCTAAGAATAAGGATTTTCCTTATATAACCATAGTACAGTTATCAACTTCAGCAAATTTGACACTGATACTTTTATCATCATATTCCAGTTTTGTCAATTTACCCAAACATCCCCACTCACTGTCAGAGCCATCATCCTGGAGTTCTAGAGGTAGCAGTGCCTTCTCTTCTCGGGCCTTCTGAGAGCTACCAGCTGGGGTGCTGGCCTTGCGAGGCCTCAAGCTCTTGAGAGGCTCCTGGGAACAGATTGGTATCAGACACCAAGGAACAGAGAGATAAGGAGAAAGGAGATGAGAATCTTGAGAGAAAACTAGCACCGGAGGAAATGGGACTGGTACAGGGAGTACTGGGACCTGATGGGAGGGAAAACAGGAATTAGGGAAGTCCAAGAAAACCAGGACTTCCCCTGTACCTTATAGGCTTTGGTGACTACTCGGCGCTTCCTTCTTGGCTCTTCTGCTTCTCCATCACTGGATGGTTCATCCCCCTCATCAATGTCAAAGTCAGAGTCCACCTCATCCTCTGTGTCTGACTGATCCCCTTGATATTCATCATCTCCTGATTCCTGAGGACGTAGGGAGATGAGGTTCTCACTGGCATCAGAGTCATTAATGTCCCTCCAGGAAGAACAGCATCTCTTTGCTTTCTTGACAGGACTGCCCCACTCTCCTTCCCAACCCACCCATCCATTTTCCTCTGGAAAGAAACCTTCCTAGCTGATGGCCTTTAGCTCTGGCACCACCCCTTCCAACATCAACTGACTGTTCTTTACCAATAGCACACCATGATAAGTGGTGGGGTACAAAAAGATATGTTTTGGTCTCCACCTTAAGGGGTCTTACAGTCCAGTAGAGGGCAGAACATAAATATAAAAGGAGGTTAATACAAGGCAACATATGAAGTACCAGATGGCAATATCATGTTACAGGTGTTCAGAGGAAGCCATACTTGCTATGGACTGGTGGCCAAGGAAGGTTTAAATTTCAGGCTGCATTCCTTTAGATTAAGGGTTGGCAAACTTTTTCTGTAAAGAGCCAGATTAAAACAGGTAATGAGCCAGATTTGTCTAGTAGTTTGTAGTGTACACACTCCTGTTTTAGACTGTTAAAAGTGAAGAGAACTTGAGCCACGGTTTAAAATACTGGTAGTATTTAGACAGCCAGGAGGAAAGAGGGAATTATGGGTAGACAGACTAGCAGGAACAAAGCAGAGGCAGGACTGTGTATAGCATGTTTATGGAATAAGGATTTAGACCCAAGTAAAGCAGAGCTTTACCTCTAGTAAGAAGTCTTCCTAGCTGACTGTATTTGGCTCCAAGATAACCTCCTTCCAACATTAACTGATACCCTACAGGGCTATAAGATTTGAAAACAATCGATTAATCTATAGAGAAACTTAAGTGTCAGGTTAATAAAGTTATGACTTTAACTTTCAGGCCAGTGGTTCTCAATCCTCTCCTTACTTGTCCCAGCATTAATAATCATTGTTGAAGTAAACCAAAGTTACTGAGAAATGTCTTACTCCTCAGGTGTGGTGGGACAGAAAAACAGTTGGGTATTACTACTACTATACTTTGCCATGCATAATGTGTACCTTTTTGCCCAAGTTTTTGAGGGAAAAATAAGGGTGCACATTATACATGGGTAGTACTAATTCCATATCTATATAAATGTTTTCCATTCTATTTATGCTTATGCATTAAAAGTGTAACTCTAGAAAGCAATTAACAATATTTGCAAGTTCAAAATGCTAAAATTCCTTTATAATGCCAAAAACAAGTATCTAAATTAAAATAAATAATTGAACTAAAAAATTAAAACAAAAGATTTTTTCCTGAAAGTTTGGGCCGAAAACATGGATGCACATTACACATGGGAGTGTGTTATACACTGCAAAAATCCAGTCTGTAGAGTGGGGAGCCACTGAAGACTTGATGGGAGAGGAAAACTGTGCACAGTGGGTGTTGTACAAACTGGAGGTGATTAGATGGGCTGGAGTAGAGAACATGGAGTACAGCCTAGACCTGAAGTGATGCAGATTAGGGTTAGGATGGTGGCCATGTCAGAAAAGAAAGGGCAAAAATGCACTAGGGGCAGAGGAGTTGACTGGGTGGGTGTGGCACCTGAAACATGTGGCTCTCTTCAATCAATGATGCAGACTAATGGGCTAATCTTGGTACACACACTGACAAAGCAAGCAAATGACAGAGACAGTTGATACTCCAAGCCTGCCAGCGTTCTATCTTGCACTGATGACCATCATTTCCTCCCAAATGATGTTTGTGAAAGACAGCCTGGGAGCGCATTAATCCCCTCAGCTCTAAACTGGTATTAAGTCACATCACCAGAGGGAAGTAGTTCAATTACACATTAGGTTAGTGCCCAATCAAAATGCTTTCACTAAGTTACGGATTTACTGCCATTCCTTTGGCTTTTATTGAGGGCCGTTAATAGACATGACTAGATAAGAGAATGTTTTTACATCATCTACCAAACCCCTGTTATTTTATATCTTATACATTAGGAGGTGATTCTCCCTAGGATTTAATGCTGAACAAGTTTTGTCTCTTTTAAAGAACTTATATGCTGCTTTCTTACTAAAAAAAGAAATTTAGGATTTGACTGCCAGGACTCTCACAGCTAAATTTAATATCAATTGCTATTACCATTTATGCAGAAGCTCCTGGTACAATTACTTCTGATCTGTCTCTATTTTTACTGTTCCTACTTTTTGTTTATATGGTAAGCCTCCTTAAATCCTTTTTGGAAGCATGACGGGTACATATTAAATAATGACTTGTAAAATGACAGGAATAGGATGACTTTTAGAAGAGGGATGAGAAAGTTCTATTTTAAACTAGCTGGTTAGGGTTGTGTAAGTTATGACTCCCAGTCAGTCACCAAGTCCTGTGGACTCGACTGCCTTAATTTCTCTTGAACTCTCCTGTCCATGATTCCCTACACTCACTGCCTGCCTCAAACCATTCTCTTTATTACACAGTGATCCTTCTAAAGTGTCAATTTGATCATTCCCTCAATCCTCTGGGTGAAGAGCAAAGCTCCTTAACCCTACCATGGCTCACAAGGCCCTGCGTGTTCTGGCCCATGCCTATTCCCTCCATCTTTACCAATCTTTATTCTCCTTCAGGTCTAGAGAATGAGAGCAGATGTGCAGGTCCGGGACCTGGATCAGGGCCTTTACACATTCTGCCCCACCCACTTAGTGGACTAACCTTTCTCCTTTCCCAGTTCCCAATTCTGTTGCTCTTCACCCAGTCAAGGCCTACTTTTCATAGTGTCTTCAGCTTGAACATATGTTCCCCCCATCCAACTAACAACTCTGGCTCCCATGTGTTCCCATAGCACCCTATGCTAACCACTTATTTTACCCACACACTTTAAAGTGTTAACCCAGATAGCTCCCCACTGGGGTCTGAAATATATAGGGACAAAGTAGTGTTTTTAATATTGTATTGCTAAAGCCTATCACTGTGCATGGCTTGCTGTAGGTGCTCAACACACATTTACACAATGGATAGATTCATTCAATACAAATTTAACAAATGTCAACCCAATCCAGACACTGGACTAGGCACTGAATGTATACTGTTGAGCAAAACAGACCATCTCTAACCCTACAGAGCTTACAAACTAATACGAAAACATAAACAAGCAAATCAAATCTAATTACAAAGTGAAATGTTCTATGAAGATAATAAATGAGGACAGTTTTTTGGACAGTCAAGGAAGGGTTATCTAAGACGTTTACATTGATATTTGAAAGCTAAAAGAGAGTAGGCTAAGGCCCTCTATTCTGGGTAGTGGACCAACACGTATATACCGCGTGATGACGATGGGCCTCACGCGTGCTAGACAGGTGTGCGGTGAGATATTCAACTAGAGAAACCTAGAGAAACAGGAGGTTTCTGCCATACTATGGGGTGCTCCCAGCTTTCCCACCCCTGCTTCGTCCAGAGCTCTCTCCCTTCTAGGACTCCACTGTATCTCCCCCGCACCCCACGACTCGCCCACCCAGTCCGGAGATTTCAACTGCAAAGGCTCCTCTCTATTCCCCGCCCCCTTCTTTGTCCGAGGTTTCTCCCTTCAGGACTCCTTTTAGCTTCTTTCCCTCCCTCTTTCTGGGCCCGGCTCTTGCCTCCGTGAAACCCCCATAAGTCGTCTGGTAGAATTCATCTTCCTCCTCGGCCTCCAGAAGCCCAGAAAGCCGATTCCCCGCGGTCTTCCGGGGAGCCCGGCCGCCAGCCAAACTCATATCGCCTACCGAGGCTGCGCGGCCACCAGCAGCCCCTCACCCAGCGCCGTTCTCGGAGCTCGGCGCTCCGCACCACTACCTGCGGGTGGCAGGCGGCGGCGGAAGCCCGTCGTCTACAGGCAGAAGCAGCAGAGCGCCGAGGGGGATCCTAGTCCCGCCCCCTAAACCGGGTTTTCTCTTCAACCCCGCCCACTCCTGCACAGACACCACCCCCAAGCTCCCCGCCCTGACTTGTGCAGACCTGGCTTGTGATGCTTAGACTCGTGACGCTCCCCTTTTATCTTAAGTCCAGAATTCGGGAATCAACACATTTTCATTTAGAAGAGGCCAGTCTTTCTTTGCTCCAGTTCATTTTTCATTCTGCTAACCAATAGGAACCTTTCTAAAAACTCAGACTTCATTACTCTTCTGCTCAAATATCAATAATGGTTCCCTGTCATCTACAGGATAAAGTCCAAAATCTTTGAGGCAGAATAGTAGTATAGCTAAGAGCAGAGCCTTAGCACTAACCAGACCTGAGTTGGAGTTTGAACTTAGAGGTTCTAGCTTGTGACTTTGGGCAGTTGCTTTACCTCTGTGAATCTCAGTTTTCTTATCTGTCAGGTGGGGGCCAATAATAATAATACCTACTTCTGAAGGTTGTTGAGAAGGTTGAGAGATATAATCCTTGTAAACTAGTATGCAAAGAGACGTTTAATAGGTGATAACATGACACTCAAGAGCCTTCATATTTAGCCTCTCCCTGCCTTTTTACCCTCACCTCCTGCCACATCATCTTATTCTAGCATCACTCCCTAATGCCCAATTCTCTGTCATGCATCCATGCTGTTCTTTCTCCTTAGAATCCCTTTTCTTTCTTGTCTATTTGGAAAATTATAATTCTATAGGAGAGTGAGTCTTTTTGCACACCTATTCCTCTCTTCCCAGCACAGTTCTCATAACCGTGGAAATCACACCTCCTTTATTCTTTAGAAGTGTCCCAATTTCAAATAGTCTGCGATATTGTCAAGACTATGTGTCAATGTTTCTTCTCATTTTTTTAAATTCAGAAAATATGGATGTCAAGCCATAGTACTTGTATATATTCTATGATGGCACCTATTATGTTTTTTCTAATGATTTATGTGTCTGCCTCTCTCATTACTCTGTTATCTTTTTGAGGACAGGGAGTTTATCTTCATCTGTATATACCGGGAACCCTCATAGTGCCTGGGACATCGATGGGGCTAATGTTAATTCAGTGAATGAATTAATGAACGGCTAATTGAATGAATTAGGTACCCATCCTCTTATTTTGCCTCAACATTGATCTTGGTAGCCCCTAGCCCCTCCAGTCTGGCCTTAGGGACTGTTGTAAGACATGAAGTTCACTTTAATAAAGCATTGTGTGTGTGCACTATGTCCTTTAAATCTGTATATGTGGCCCTATTCTGAGATCACCAGATTGACTCCCCTTTTCCAAAGTCCATATTGGTGAACTCCCTTTTCCATTTCCTTGGAGGCACCAAGCCAACATGTCTTGTTCTGCTCCCACTTCCACACCCAGTAATGTCACTGATGTTCTGCTATGCCAGGAATGTTACTGGGCAACAGTGGCTTCATGACTCAAAGCACTCCAGCGATTGAGTGGGAGCAGGAGCAGAGACAAGATTTAGGGAGAAAAGATGGGAGACACCACTAGCCCACCTTTTTGAATTTTGCCTTCATCCATTCATATATTCAGGAGACACGTATTGAGTACCTACTCTGTTCAAGGCACTATTCCAGTTCCTTGAGATATAAAAGCAGATAAGATGTAATCTTTGCCCTGAAATATTCAGTCTTATGAGGGAAACAAACAAGTAAACAGAATGACATAACACAAGGTAGTAGGATAACAGTAGCCACTTTCTGGTCCCCACAGGAGAAATGAAGACCCGTAAGAAGCTGTAAAATAGGGATTTCTTCTTTTGGGACAACTGAAATCAACTTCATAGATCAAATCCCAGGGAGAAAACTCCCTGTTTGACATACTGCCATAGTGAATTAATGATTGGTCTATTTCCAGTTTTAAAATCAGAAACAGCTTTACCTCTGTAGCTGAATTCTAAAATAACTCAAGAAATGGTAGCAACTCCATGTCTTTTATGGAAACAAGGATAATTTATTACACAAATAATTGTTGAATATCTATAAGCCAAATCCTATGCTAGACAGTGTGTCCTCACCTGTCTAGCTTTTGTACTGTTTAGTTCAGTGGTGGGGGGCGTAGGTATAGGCAATCATAAAATACTTCAGCGCTACCCAATTCCATTGCTATGGAATTAGAAATGCAAGTTTGCCTAGCCTTCATTATCCAAATGAAGATGAATAAATAATCCAGCAGGTGGCAGCAGGGAAGCAATTATTTTAGATCTTAATGAGAGAGGGATAAAAGGCAGCGAGTGGTCAGTGCCTTGGGATAGTCTCTGGAGCCAGGTCCTAGGTTCCTTTTTGAGGACCCAGACAGAATCTGCATAGAGGATAACCAGGCTATCTTGGGGGCTACCATACCTAGAATTTCGCCCCCATTCTTCTTCATTTATTCATTCCACAAATAATTATTGAGGCTCTAACATGTACAAAGTCACATCATCGAAGTAGCTGAAGATGCAAGAGTGAACAGAATACAGTGGTTGCTCTCCAGCAGTTCAGTCTTTTTAGAGAAAAACAGGTCTTCAGATCCCTACGAGAGTCACAACCTTCAGGGTACTTTGTTAAGTGCAGGTTAGTACAAAGACTAGACTTCAAAGGACAGTTTCTCTGTATGTCTCCATGCCCTTTGGAGCATAGATAACAGAAGCTAAGGGCTTGGATCGTGGGAAGATTGTGATATGGTCTGAACACTTTCCTTGTCTCTTTTGACATGTCTTCATCCATTCGTCAAATATTTTCTGAACTCTATCACTATGCCCAGCATTGCGCTTGAGGCAAACAAAGTGTAGATCTGTTTCGAATGTCTGAGGAAGGCAAGACACGCAGGCGCGTTAAACTAAATAGTAAACGAGACAGTGGAGCCGGAAGTATACTTGGTGGCATGTGATGGTTTATTGTGGCTTATTATATTCGACTGCTTCAAGTCCCTGACTTGACCCTAGAACATCTGTCGGGATATCCGGATGTAAAATTGAGAGGGACCGCCGAGCCAACACATAATGAACTCAGGCAACACAACCCAGTTCGTTCAAAGAACGAAATTAAATTGACCCACCGAGCCACCGTAGGGGCTGTCTGCAGTCCCGGGCGCTTAAGTATTCAACCCAGGATTCGTTAGGCTGTGAGGCACCCGCATCATGTGACCACTAGTAGCCCCTGGATTGGCTTTGCTCCTCTCAAGCCCTCCCCGCCTCATTGTGTGGGATGGAACACTAGGTTGAGCGCATGCGCAGTGTCCAGACTTCGCTGGCCACCCGGAGTGGAGCTGTGGAGTTGGGTGATAAACAGGCTGTGGCTAGGCGGAGGGGGAGGGGGCGTTCTCTCTGCCGGGACTTCTCACGCCCCCTCGTTCTTTTAGGTGTGGTTAGGTCCGCACTGAAGTTCTCGGCAGCCGGCTTGAGCCTACCCCCTTGTGAGGGAAAAATAGCTCTCGCAGAAAGCAGTTCAAGTTGCGGAGAGGGTGCGAGACGTGGATTGTCCCCATGCCAGCCAAGTGGTGCGGCCCTGAGCTGGTCCAGGAGCCTGCCCGACGTGTCTGAGAGAGGCCCCGGAGGGGGCGGGAAGGGACGGTCAGAACGCGGTCTCTGGGAAGAGACGTGGGGAAGATTCGACTCCGAGAAGAGGAAGAGCCCCATTGAAAGGGAGTGAGGCCGCTGAGGGGGAGGGGGCTGCCAAGATGGCGTCTGCCTCTGGGACGTCGGCGGTGGGGTTTTCATTCGTGGATGCCGGGGTTCCTTCCAGCACCTCGTCCTCAGGTAATGAGGGCGCGGCGTGGAGAGGGGGTTGGTGACGGCTGTGCGGTGGGAGCATGAGCGAGACTTAGAAGGTTACCTGTAGCTGGGGATGTCCTAAGAGCTGCTGGTAAGAACAGAGGGCTGGGCTTCTAACTAGCAAGGCTTTCTGAGCGGGCAGGGTAGTCTGAGGAAAAGATTGATTTGCTTGAGAAAAGGGAAGCTGTCAAAAACGTTGGCTGTCTTGGAGGAAACCGAGTTGAGGACTAAGAAGTAGAGTCAGGGATGCATCAAAGGAAGGGTAGGGAAACCAAAGGAAGTAGAGGAAAGGAAAGGAAAGGAAAGGGGGCTTTACAAGTAGAGAGGAAATTACTTATTATGAGAGGCAGGTAGAATCCAGGAAGATTGTGAGGTCAATTGAAAATGTGAAAGAGAAGCCGTGGGACTTAAACGGTATTGAAGAGTGATGGGACTATTTTGATTGCTGGGGAGTTTAGGGAATTGTGAATTTTATTGGGGGTGGGAGTTAATGGAGACGTCTCTTTTCTCGGAGACTGCTCCTAATGCGTATTTCTTTCTCTCTTGGTGCCCCCGGCCTCCCCCACCCCCACGCGCGTGCTCGCCGATACATGTTTTGTCAAACCTACTTCCTGGGTGATTTCTACATCTAGACTTACCAACTTCGGGAAGGAATGGACAGTGTTGAAGGGAGCCTGAGGAATGTGGAAATTAGGGTTAAAATACCCTAAAAAATAGGTGGAGAAGGTGGAATGATGTAGTCTTGCTTGAGTTGCAGTAGAGGCCGACAGGGGTGATGCTAGGAATTAGGCCTGAGGAGGATGGAGTTGGCAGGGTGGCTCTGAGTGCTGTGGGGGAATATTGCATAATAGGAAATAGACTGGGAGAATGCTGGGGCCTATCAGGAAATTGGCACTTGGCGAATGGAGCCAGGGACTGTTGAAGATTGAGGGAGGGTGAGGAGCCCACGAGAGGAGAAACAGATTGTGTGTAGGAGGGAAAATGTGTGGTGTTGGGATGTGGTGGGGGGAGTTTGAGTCAGAAACTGTTCTAGAGCTTCCATCTGAAATGTCTGGTGTTCCACAGTGACTGTTGCCTGGACACTGTGAACAGGAGGAGCTACCAGATGTTGAATGCATGACTTGGGATGTTGACATTTCCCGGGGCTTAGGTTTGAATCCTTGCCATTTTGAATTGGCTAAATAGAGAGTTCCACCTTTCATATCCCAGCTCAGAGAAACTGATAATGGTCACAAATATTTTCTTCATAAGCTGCAGTTTTATTTATGTGCATCTATTTTTAGTTTCTTTTTTTTTTAATATTTTATTTATTTATTTTTAGAGAGGGAAGGGAGGGCGATAGAGAGAGAGAGAAAGAGAGAGAAACATCAATGTGCGGTTGCTGGGGTTTATGGCCTGCAACCCAGGAATGTACTCTGGCTGGGAATCGAACCTGGGACACTTTGGTTCCCAGCCCGCGCTCAATCCACTGAGCTACGCCAGCCAGGGCTATTTTTAGTTTCTTGACAGGTGATTTTTGCTTTTTCTGTGAAAGCATTAGAGAGCCAAAACAAGTCATGATGCATCTAAGTGTGAAAAAGGATAATGTAAAAATGATAGTTTTGTGTGTGTATTATAGGCCCATAATTTAAAGCGCCTTTCCACCCACCTCCAATGCAAGAAAGAAGAATGGTTATGTGTAGTCCTTAAACTTACTATCAAGTCAGGTATTTTTTCTATTAGAAATAGGGTTATTTTTTTTTTAAACCAGGTTAATCTTAAAAGCCCTGTGTTCAGGGCTGTTATATCCCAGATTTTGACCCAGCCCCCAGCTCATGGAAGTATTGGCCAGGTGGACAAATTTAGGAGTAAAAGGAAGTATTTCTTTTTCACTTACTGATACATCTCCCTCTTCTTCCAATCTCTATTGCTACTTGACTCCTCTCTTTTTTAAATGTCACTATGTGATATTTTTGGGTTTTTTTTTTTTATGTTTTCTGTCAGATCCTAGGGCTAGCAGTTAGTAAGTCAGACTGTAATAAATGTTTTTCTACTGTGTTTTCACCAGAGTCACACATTGTGTTTCAGTGGACTTTACAGCACCTTGACTCTGGTGTGTTAATATAGTATTTGAAGTCGAGGTGTAAACATACCCAAAATAAGTAACTTTAGATTCTTTTCTTAATAGAACTTTTGCTTCTTATACCCACCTTTTCTGCTTTTTTGGCAAATATTGAAACAGTTGGATTAAGAAATTAAGAGAAATTCTGTTCATAACTATTCCTGAAAATATGGGATTATTCTGTGCAAATAAACAATGTTAAAATTAACATTTTGTGTATTTGCATGTTCACTTAGCTTTGGGTTTAGTAAATTTAATTTAGTAGAATATTCCATTTTAAGGATATGTTTTTGAGGAGTGTAGGATGTTTGATGCAAAGGAAGCTATTAAGAATTTCTGTTGTTGATTAGGGGAGACTGGTGCTCTGTCTGGATGGTACCTGGAGGAATAGGACATTAGCAGGAATAAGTGATGGCTTATGATTTCCTAAAGCGTGAAAAGCTAGAAGGCTAGCTTTGTAGAAATTCTAAGTAAGTGTGTGTGTTGTGTTTTAACCATCCTAAAACCAATTTATTCTTAGATGTTTCACTGAACTCGCTTAAATTTTGGTGAAACTCCGAGTCTTAAAACTAAAAGCAAGATTCTCTGGCATTGTTGAAAATGGATACAAAATAAGAAATGTCAGGATTTAGGGTAGATTGATTGATGTTTTAAATAAGCCACTCATAACCTTTGGAGGCTCAAAATCTTTTGGCATTCAAGTTAGGAGGGACAGGTTATTTAGAATAGTTGTCCCCTGTCTAGAATATTTTGCCATTAAGCCAGAGCTGGTCTTTTAAAAATGCTGCTGACAAGTGAACTACCAAGGGTAGAGCAAACCACTCCCTGGTGATGTTTGACACCTTTTCCCATTGGAGTAATTAACCGTGTTTGGAATTTGGGTGAAGCAGTTACAAATGAATGTCAGCTTACAGCAGCCACCATGTTTTTGTTTTTTTTTTAACTTTATTCAGCGCAAAACAGCTCAGCCATATTTTTAAAGTATATTTTATTGATTATGCTTTTAACAGTTGTCCCAGTTTTTTCCCCTTTGCCCCCTTCCACCTGGTATCCCCCTTTTCTCCAGCAATTATCCCCCATAGTTCATGTCCATGGGTCACACTTATAAGTTCTTTGGCTTCTCCATTTCCCATTCTATTCTTAACCTTCTCATCTACTTCGTACCTACCAATTATGCTTCTAAATCCCTGTACCTTTTCCCCCGTTCTCCTCCTCCCCCCTCCTCCCTCCCTGCTAATAACTCTCCATGTGATCTCCATTTCTATGATTCTGTTCCTGTTCTAGTTGTTTGTTTAGTTTGTTTTTTGTTTTTGTCTTTTAGGTTCAGTTGTTGATAGCTGCTAGTTTGTCGTCATTTTACTGTTCATAGTTTTGATCTTTTTCTTAAATAAGTCCCTTTAACATTGCATATACCATAATAAGGGCTTGGTGATGATGGACTCCTTTAGCTTTACCTTGTCTGGAAAGCACTTTATCTGCCCTTCAATTCTAAATGATAGCTTTGCTGAGTAATCTTGGATGGAGGTCCTTGCTTTTTATCACTTTGAATACTTAATGGTTGTTAATAAAAAATGATGTAGTTTGCCATCTAGTTTCAGCTGTTTGGTGGGTAAAGGAAATTTATTCCTTCTCTTCCTCCCTCTTCCTCCAATCCTCATTATTAGGACTGTGGCAGCACCACTTAAAAAATAAAATCAGCCCTGATAAAGGGCTGTTGACAGCATGACCATCTGTTACACTAGTGTAGAGAGAGCCTGTTGCTCTAGTTGTAGTTTGACTAGTCCGTCAAGAGCTTGAAATTCAGCCACTGAGTCCCCTTTTTACTACAGTGAAGGCAGGTAAAGTATTTCTGTTTTAGAGACTTGATTTGAAGTTAGTGGAGGAGTTAGAAAGTAAAGTTAGAATGTGAAGGTGTACAGTGCCCCCCTGAAATAAGAACTGTGTGATAAAATCACATGTGAGTCCTCAAGAAAAAGTACTCGAAACCTTAGAAGATACGAACCAGTAACTTCTTTTGCTTCAGACTAGAACATTTTTGAAATTATCATCCTTTACATACATGATTTTATCATAAGCATGATGATTTGGAGGTAAATACATGATTTTTTTCTTTTCTCTTTTTTCTTAACTACTGAGGGAAGCCTCAGAGGACACAGGATTGAGTCTGGTGGCTTTGTTCTACTCAGCAGGTCCCTACCAGTAAATTGTGCTGTAATCTGATAACTCCAAAAAGTAGGGATTTTTTTGAGAGTTTTTGTTTGTTTTCTTTGTGTACAGTGTACACTGTTTATAGGCTGACCCCTTTCCCTTCAATTCTTCTATACTAGTGAAAGTAATGCCACTTAAGCCAGTTTACTGCAATGAGTAAACTGAAATTAGGAAATGTAAAGATAGAACAAAATGTCGAATAGTCACTAAGTACGTTTGGTTGAGATTTTTAAGGGGGGAGAGATTTTTCTGTTTGCTTTCTTTTTAGGGTGTTTTGACCCCCTCTGTTTCTTTGTCCTCTTGGTATATTCTGCCAGAAAACTGACATCAGAATGTCATTTTTTAAATTGCTTTTGAAATCCTCCCTAAAGATACTGATTTGAGAGAAAGACAAGGAGAAACATAGATGTGAGAGAGAAGCCACCATTGGTTTCCTCCCCTATGTGCCCCAACAGGGAATGGAACCAGCAACCTAGGTATATGCCCTGACCCTGGATAAAATGGAAACCTTTTGGTGTATAGATGATGCTCCAACCAACTGAGCCACCTGGCCAGGGCAGAATGTCATTGTTTTTGATTAACTATCTGTTTCTGCCATAGCTGCTTGAGCTTTGAATAGCAGGATAATATGTTTTGCTTGTTAATTTCTCTGTGCTGTGCTGGGTTGATATAAAAC